GTTCCATACTAGTAAGGTGTTAGTGGTCGAGAAGATCGAGAAAGTAATAGGGATACATACCGGATGATAGCATCCAGTCCGAATGGCTGCGCCCATTGACATAGCTTAACGATACGTTCTCGCTCAGCTCTATTCTTATCTGGTCTTGGTTTTCCCCATAATACCACGTCCTGAGTATCTTGATGACCCCAAATAGAATTGGCTCCACTGGAACCATCAAAGTAAACTACATTGAGTTCCTCTTCAACCTCAAATGTAAGCATCCCTGGATATTGGCCTTATTATTTCTTCCGTGCGCCCTTAGAGTTCGAGTAACCTACAGCATTCTGGTGGGTAACAGACCAGATAGGAGTGTTCGATGTTGAATGCCAACCATTCTGGAATCAAAGGGATGATTCTATCTGGCCGTGCGTGATATCTGAATTGCCATTACAGTTAGCAGATGAGTCCAAATCCCGGTAGGGAGTACACTCAAGCTTACAACACGGTGCCCACTGGAATTGTTCCTCGAACAATAGCATGCCCATTCCGATACCTTGTATTAGGCCATTGCTGTAGAAAAGACGCGACAGTTGTGAATAAAAGGTTATCAGTTGCGTTTCGCAGCCACTGCTCGTGCTGGTCGTAATCCAAAGTTGCTGAGTCGAGATTCTGCGTTCTTAAAGGTGTCTGTTGTGCTAGAATTTCCGCGATGCGTCCTAATATGAATATAATTCCATGAGATAACCGCATTTGGTTCAGAGCAGAAGAGGTAAATGGAGCACATGGTCGAAGTTCGGAGTCAACCTATTTCGCTCATCCCATTCCATCCTTGCCTCAACAATTGCGGCACGCTTGGTCTGAATGGGCTTAAAATCACTCTCGAATCATTCTTATGAAGGCAAGAACTTGGGAGGCTAAGGCAAGTCCATGTTTCTTGGAATGGCGAACATGACATTGAATACCGAATACCTGCAACTGAACTGATCATATAGATTCTTGATATGGACCCGGAAGCGGAGGACGGTGCCACCAAGGACAGCGATTCGTCACGGAAGGGTAAATGTGCTGTTATCAA